CTGCTGAACTTCAGTATATATGAAGACTCTTTACTCAAAAGGACAAGTAACAGCAACATATCTGTCTAAAGAAACCCATCTGCACGAAGACTGAAAAACTACTAATGGTAGCGAGGCAAAAATTATTTAAAAGACAATAGAAAAGAAACTGGAGTCACATATTGAGCAGAGATCAATTTATTTTAACAGAAATTAAAGGAAGGAGTTTTTAGTCCTTTTCCAGATGGGTTAATTCCAGTATTTTCAACAAGGTCATGAAAAGTTGCAGGAAGTTTAGAAAAAGCAGCTGAGTGAAACCGATGACAGATCCAAAACCAATCTCCCAGTCTGAGGCAGTCAGTTGCTTTAGTGATTTCTCAGTGTTGCTACTAAACGAACAGCCTGTAAATGAGTTGCTGCTTTACTTCTGTTACTGTTCAGAAACATCTTTTGAGGGCAACACATCTCTGCTCATAGCAGCTCAGGTTAAATACAGTATTTGTTTTGAAAAACCTAGGCTTATGAAAAGTTAAGTGTCCCAGTGGATTAGTCATCTAAACACCTGTAGAACTGCAAAAGATAGCTCTCCTTTCAGTCTGGCACAAGTGCAGGTACAGCAAAAGCACTCACAGGCAAGTCATAAAAAAATGAAGTTCATACCAAGATTAACAGCAAAGGAAGACATAGAAAAGCTCTATTAGATGCTTGCTTTCAACTTCAGTGATAAAGATGGTTTTTTAACATGAGGTACTTATGGGTGTTAAGCCTAATTGTTTCTGCTTCAAAAGTGTTAGTACTGCCCTTTGATATTAAGACCAGTATAACACTGCATGGGAAAAGCATATCGGATCCCTGGGAATCATAGTATGTACATCCTGGGACCCCCAAACAGTGATCCTTCAAAACTTGATATCTGTTCTTAAAATGACCAGTGAATAGTAAGTATTTTGTCAGTCACTGACTGCAGCAGCACCTTTAGAAGAAATCTTTAAAAATATGTCAATTGCCTCCCATGTCAATTGAGGAAGACATTCAAACAGCAAGCAGGCAATTTATGCAATTTAAAGCATCAGAAATGCTTTAATGTTAGCAAAGCCATCTGTTGGTGGGAGTGTTGATAGAGAAGCTAGTCAGTGGCAATACAGCTATGCCATTGGATCATATTCTTACAGAGGCAAGCACTAATTTAATTTGTTTCTGCTAGAAAGTCTTGATCTCAAAACCATGCAACAGTAAGATCAGAATAACATAGCAAGAATAGGGCCAGAGTACTTGATATGCTGCATAAAAATACATTGGCATCTTTACTGTGCTGGTTACGCATAAGTGCACTATCAGAAGATCATGCGTTTAAGTCACACATTTTTTGCTTTCAAGGCAGAATAATTTATATTAGAAGAAACTGCAGGACATCCCAGTTTGTGACAGCAATAAGCATACAAGGTTAGTTTATTTTCAAATACTCACACAAAATGAAAAAACATACTTACTGTAAGAATCCCATGCCATAAACCAACATCCTTCTTGAAATCTAATACATTCACAATTGTTTCAGCTGTCCAACAAAAACAAAACAGCGTTCATTTTTTAGAACATGGCATTGACCCAAGGCAAACCCACTCAAAGGAAGAAAGCTTCAATATAACATGACTGATGACCTCAAAGCTTAACTTTCATAGTAAGTCTCCAGTGCAGGATTTGTATTGGCTAGGATATTATTTGTATCTCTCACAAAGCTATTTTAAATGTGTACGTATTTTCTAAAAGCAAGGGGAAAAAAATCAGGTTTTTAAATCTAGAAGCCTTTGACACAGATCTACGTAAAACGTAAGACAGAAGCCTGATGAGAAACAAATTAGATTTCACACTTGATTTTAAGCATGAAGCAAGGGAAGTGTACTTCATACCTTCTGTGTAACCACATGCCTGGGTCAGAGCTTGACAGTGTGTCAGCAGTGCAATCCTTGTCACAGTCACCCCAAGCACGCTTCCATCTTTACATGTTTTGTACTAAAAAGAAAGAAGCAGGGAAAGTCAATGTGCAATAGTTGCCTTATTTCCATTATTTAATAGCAACGTTTAAAGCGTTTCCTATGTAAGTGAATGATGGACACATCTAATGACTCTATTTTAAGAAGGCAGCAGTACTAAGGAGTTCAGGAGGCAATTTTTTGTTAAAAGACACTTTTTTCCAATAGGTTTTCTCTTTCTGACTGAAGCTTCCCAGGCTTGATATCAGAAATCCATCTACTGTTTGAATATAGGCATTATGGAAAAATAATTCTAACAATTCTAATCACGTTAATAACTAAAGGACTGGCTGGATTTAGCAGAGAATAACCTAGTTCAGTCTGCCCAGTGCTCATGTTAGATTTTATAGGCCAACCAATAAACCTGAGATTCTCCCTTCTGTGTCTTACAAGGCATAGGATAAGAGTTGACTGCAGAATCCTTGCTGGGTGCTGTTATAATAATCTATACATATAGAGTCTGAAAGACAGAAACTCTCTAATCAGAAGAATATGGAAGAGTCATGAGAAAGCAGCATAAAAAAGAGGTGGGAGATTATTGCTGATGATTGCAGTAATTTTTGCAACTTTATGCAAGAGTCTGAAAACTATCAGTGGCAATTAAAGTAAATTAAACATTTATCTTTCTCCATGATGAAGATAATCAGCAAGATTGAGAATGAAGGCATGTCTGCTTCTCTAGTCCAGCATTCTGACTGCGTGAAGACAGGAAATACCTTTGCTCCATTCACTTGAACTTATTTCCTTTGAATAATCATTTAAATTCAATGCTAATATCACTGAATTCGAGGCATTTGAGTCTATGCAGAAGTGAGAAAAAAGAATGGAAAAAAACTAAGAGAAAAAATTAAACTTAACGGCATTGCCAATTTTCCCTTCCTGATGCTGGTCTTTTGTGGGGAGTGTGACTCACAAAGCACTAAGTGACAGGCAAGCATTTGAAGAAGAAGTTCCTTCTCTTTCAAAGGGTCTAAAGGTTGTGAGATGAGAACGAAGCTTCACTGTCAAACTTGCCATCTATCCATCTCAAGGCTAGTGGGCAAGTCCACACTGTGAATGAGACCAAGATTGGTCAAGGCAAGTTTAATATAATATTGTGACAGCCACATAGATGACATAAAAACACTGACATTAGAAAACCTCAAAATGCAATTTAACATTTCATTAACTTTTCTGAAATCAATATCCAGCATAATTTATTAGAAAATATCACTTATTAACAGGCTAAACCAGGATGTCCGTTGCTTCTGTGACTACTGAATGAATAATGATGTCTATCTAATCCAGAAGTGCCATATGCAATGATTTGAGGAGAAGATGCATCTTCATTAACTCACCTCAATGTAAGCTGTGTCATTGTTTGCATCCTTGATGTGTGGGAACCAGTCACGAGGTGGCTTCGAGAGGTGTTTAGACTCTGTGACAAACCACAGCAGCTTTGGCCAGCCTGAGGTATAAAGAAAAGTCAGCTTTTGTCAAGTTTCTGCTGGGTAAGACAAGACAAAACTATTCTCTGACAGAGTTTTTTTTCCCAAATGCCTGTTTCACCATCACCTAAACATTGCTTCTTTTAAACCTCAGGGTAGCATGGGACAGAAGGTTTTCCAGAACTGCTTTCTTAACATGGCTATCGTGGCCTTCTCAGACAATCTTTGAAGAAATGGCTGGGCAGTTTAAGCTGTTATTGACCCAAATAGTTTATTACCACTCTCCTGTCGGAGGTTACTGTCCCTACCACTTAGCTATAGGACTGAGTCGAACAAATGCTTCTCATCTACTACAGTCCTAACTGTTGGTTTAATTTCGCTTGTGGCCACAGACGATCCCAGCAGTCCAGCTGAGAACCAGATCAGGAGCACTCGTACTGCTCAGCCGCAATGAGGCATGAGCAGTGATCTCTACCAGCCAGTGACACACAGCCCAGTCAATCCCGACCCAGCAGCCACGGCTGCTCCTGTGGCAAGTGTTTCATCACGGGCCTGATCCTCACTCACTACAACTAAAGAAGTGCAGTGACTGTTATTGTAGTAAATGACCTGTGATATCCACGATAAGCAAGGGTTAGCTTACCTTTAAACTGTGGTATCTCCCCTGTGGGGCTCTTAGGCAGTCCTTTATGGCATGCGTCGCTAGTCAAGGCCACAGTAACTCCACAGCTTCCAAGCAAAAAGCCTATTTGCTGACTTCCTGCATCCTAAGGGAGGACAAAATAAAAGAAATATACAGAATTGATTAGAAGTGATTACAGGCTGAAAACATTATTGTCCTTTGGCACATTATCTTGAGAGGAAAACAGTCTCTTTCCTTTAAGCAACTTAGCTGATTAGCAAAACTCATTTGTACACTGACAAAGGAATTCCAGAACCTAGATATCCTCTTGTCTGTAACAACATAAATCACAAAGAGAACTGAAACCATCAGACGGTGCCTGCTCCCACATCTCTTCAGAAATGACAGCCAGGAGGTGGTTGGGAGGAGCGGCTGACACACCAGAGGGTTCTGTCATCCAGAGGGACCTCAGGAGAAATGGGCTGACAGGAATCTCAAAAGTTCAACAAAGGCAAATGCACAGTCCTACACCTGGGGAGGAACAACCCCCTGTACCAGCACGGGCTGGGGGCTGACTGGCTGGAAAGCAGCTTTCCAGTAAAGGACCTGTGGGTCCTGGTGGGCACCAAGCCAAATGTGAGCCAGCAATGTGTCCTTGCACAAAGAAGGCAAATGGTATCCTGGGCTGTGGTTAGGCAAAGCACTGCCAGCAGGTTGAGGGAGGTGATCCTTCCCCTCTACTCAGCACTACTGAGGTACATCTCAAGTGCTGGGTCCAGTTTTGGCTTCCAAATACAAGACATGGAGCTACTGGAGAGAGTCCAGCAAAGGGCCACTATGATAATTAAAGGACTGAAGCATCTCTGCTATGAGGAAAGACTGAGAGAGCTGGGACTGCTCAGTCTCGAGAAGAGAAGGCTTAGGGGATCTCATCAATGTGTACAAACACCCAAAGGGAAGGTGTAGAGACGACAGAGCCAGGCTCTTTCTAGTGCTGCCCAGTGACAGGACCAGAGGCAATGGGCACAGATGGAAACAGAGACGGTTCCCTCTGAACACCCGGAAACACTTTTTTACTGTGAGGGTGACTGGCACAGGTTGCCCAGAGAGGTTGTGGAGTCTCCATCCTTGGAGATAAACAAAAGGCACCTGGACACAGTCCTGGGCAACCTGCTCTAGGTGGCCCTGCTTGAGCAGGGGAGCTGGACCAGATGACCTTCAGAGGTCTCTGCCAATGTCAACCATTCGGTGATTCTGTGACAGTTTTAGGAAATAATATGGGTTATCGATGCTTCCACCTGCAGAAAGCTTTCAACCTTTAAGATGTTATGATGGTCATACAGTGGTGACAGTATCACTATTTATGCTGATCTAACCTGATCTGTCAATAACCATTTCATTGAGTAGTTACAGACACATTTCAGGAGCACTACAGATAGTCAAGTGCCCATTAGAGAAAGTGCATTACATTTTACTTTCATCCAGGGGATATAGGCAGTGAGGCTAAAAAGTCATGTAATGATTTTCAAGTCTAGGTCATAGCTGTTCTTTAAGAGATGCTGTGCTTCTACAGCATTATGTCTGCTTTATGTATAGTGTCTTGTCATGATTCTTTCATGAACTTTACATCTATCCACTAGGCTCTTCAACAAAGCAAAATCCTAGATGTAAATGCACACAGAAGTGTTAACTCTTTCTTTACAGAGTGATTCTACAGAAAAATAGCCTAGAGAGTCTTAAAAGATCAAATTAAAATATCTTTCAAATCAACCATAAAGCACACTTCAGCATGGAAGTAACCAGAAATAAAGAACAGTTGCCTTAATCTATTGATTTATGCAAAGTAAAACTGTATGACGGAAAGAAAACTCCGAAGCCTATCTGACTCGTTTTTAATGCAATTTCTATGTAGTCAAATAAAGCCATCTAAAATGGGAAGCAATGACATCAGAGAAAAAACAAAAGCTTACTTGTTTTCCATACCACCTCAAAACATGTATATGGCACCAATTATCAGAACTTCAATAGCTGAGCAAACAATGTGGGACAATAAACTGATCTGTCAAAACTATACTATGTAACTCCTTCCATCCAGAATGACTGCATTTGCTTTTGCTTACTATAATCAGAATGCATATAAAAACAGGAAAAATTGACCAGGTACTTTTCGGAAAGGCTTTTTAAAATTAAGCTTGTCTGTCATCTTTTCCAATAAAAAAGCAGACAAGGACAGTAACCTTTGAACAACAGACAATAATGTTGGTGTATCCGTGAACAGTAACAGCATGTGGTTGACCCCACCATACCTACACCAGGGGGCCTTCCAGGACAAAAAGGGCTTTGTCAAGCATTACTGTCCTCACTGACTCTTAGCTGGTTAGCTGGTCCATATCTATGTTGTCAAACCCCTGGGACAAGCGCTTAGCCAGATCGGATCCTGGTTTCACATTAGGATGAGACCTAGCATTTCAACTCTTGGGAGCCTACTCAACGGAAGGAAAAGTGGGCGCCTGAACAGTGCAGGCGAGACAGCTCTCCCCGGAGGTCCCTCTGAAGGAATGGCAGGAAGATGAGGGCTGGAGTGCTCCATGAAGAACAGCACTCCTTGGGCAAGACATAGCCTCTGAGACCTGCCACTCTATCATATATAAAGGGAGGTCCCCCGTTTCTTAAAATATCAGATTACCCAAAATTTCCCACTAAATTCAATCTAAAAAATAGTTACCAATGTATGTATATTAATGAATTTCTAACTACCAATTAGAAAAAAGCATTGCATATAAATTTCATAATTGAATACAGCAATTGCATCACTCTCAATTTTAAATTAAAATTAAAATGTGGTTGTAACTGTATGCCCTATAAAAGACTGCTAGCAAACTGTTTCACCACTGTACCAAGAAAACGCTGATTCTCAAGCAATCAAATTCCATTTAATGCAGGACTTTATAAGCAGAAACTAACCTAATAAACTCCAATTATGAAATCTAACATATGTAAACCAGTAGGAAGTGTGGACCTTAGAGCACCAGCGTATCAGGGCCCTGGGGGATGCATCAGTTAAGAAACGATCTGTCAAGCTCTTCTCATGTCAAAACAAAATAACAGGAAAAGGAAACTTGTATTAATAGTTTGAGGTTTTTAGATGACACAAGAAAGAATTACTATGGTTCTACTATAATGCCACACCAACCAGTTTAGAGCATGTCCACATAAATATTATTCATTCATTTGTAGCAGTTCACACACAAGCAGAGAGAATCATGTATAGATTACTTAACACAATCTAGTCACATGTCACAGTTTCTAATAACAGACAGTTTTACATCAGGACAACCCCATCTCAAATAGCATTAAAATCTTCATCCTGTTCTTTTCTGTACAGTTAATTCATTCATTTGAAAGGACAATGTGGCTAAACAATTATGTGACACAACACCATCACAGGAGATTGGAAGAATTTCACCATGTGTGGACAACATCCAGTTGTTTTACTGACCTTCAAATCCTATGCCATGCACTTGTGTCCACACTAAATCCTGCCTTGCAAGAAAAAAGCCAATCAAGATGCTAAAGTAGAGGTACTGCGATAGACACTGTTCTCAGTGACTACTGAAGCTCCAGCTGAGGATCTTACAGTACAAACACAATGAAGCTTTCTGGCAGTCTGCTAGTCTGTGTCCATCATTCCCACTTTCAGTCTCAGTCTTGCAGTCCCAACTAGTTATCACCACCTCCTGCCTGCTTCTGGTGGCTTCACCCTGACTTAGAAGCCAAAAGTACTGCAGAGAACAGACACATGAAGAAGGAGTCGACATACCTGGTTGCATGTAGGTGCCCCTGTGATACCTGCTGCCCCACAGAAGCAATTGTTTCTAACTACTCAAGTGGTGTTGAGCTACTGGACTGACAACCAGGAGGTGGAATATCTGAAACCATCTCAAGCTGAGAGCCTTATACATCCCAAAACCACACCGTAACCTTACCTACACACTCAAGCACGTAAACATGATAGTTTTTACTGTTCCTCATACCTCAGCATGACAGGCCCAGAGCAGTGAGGACCTTGGGTAAAACTCAGAAGTTTGAAAAATGAAGTTTGAGTTGAAAATGCAGTTATTTGTGTGAAGCAGTCAAAGCTTCCATGTGGGCCAGGAAAAAGACTACTGACTTTGAAGACATTGATTATTTCAGATTTTTGATTATTTCAGATTTCAGAGACAAGCTATTGGTGTCCCTTTTGAGTAATGTAAAATGAATGTCTGCAATGCTGAAAACTGCTTTATAAGTAGAAAAAAAAATTATCTGCTACCAAAAAAAAAAATAATATCCTCCCTTCCTCCCCCCTTTAAATAAAATCTCTCCAGCCCATAAAGGGAAAAGATTTTCAGGGCACACTGTTGTCAGCAGTGTTATTTGCTATTTTGCTAATTTATGCTAACCTGCTACTTTGGCAACCCCCCACTTGCCATAAACACTTTATTTTGCTGAATTTTGTGGGGGTAGAAAAAAACTCAGGGAGCCAGTGGAGACCAGGTGAAACAACTCAACCAACGCAGTCCCAACTGCAGACAGGGAGAGACTTGCCAGCAATGCTTATTGTCAAACCCTTCACAATTCAGTTTGAAATGACGTGTAATGCAGGTGGAAGGCAAAAGACAGAGCTGAGGTATTGTAGCACGAGGTTTGAGACCAATTGCTGACTTTGGAACTATCATTTTACATTTCTTGAAGGCACAGCACTTGCTGAGGTACGAAAAATGAGGTCTACATAGCTTTAGACTATGTCTGCACACACCTAGAGAGATCAATCTTTCAGATGAAGCAAGTTGGAAATCCTCTCTGCTGTAGGTAGCCATTCAAGGTTCTCTAAAGACTTTTATTAAAGGTTCCCTAAAGGTTTTCAACAGTACCTGGAGGCAAATTCTCTTCTTCCTGCTGCAGAGAGTGATAAATCATTGTCAGGATAAAAAATCCCATGTGTGGTTGCATTTCAGCATGCTGTTAATGTCATTTCTATAATGCTTTGTGAGAGTATCTGTGTGAAGGAAAACAATTATGATCCTTTCTCCGTGAGTGAGAGTGCATGTCCTTATCTAATAAGGAAGGAAGGAAGAGACAATCTGAGCAAAGGCTGGCCTGATA